ACCTGGTTTCTACAAATATATTAGTTTATTGTATTTAATGAAGACTGTCTGGCAAAACTATGACTTCTGTGTAAACAGTTGCCTTGCGGTTCATTGCATGTGAACTGTCCTTTAAGCTATATGAATGTTTGTCCATTTAGGCAAGGTTTAATTAAAAATCAACCCACACAAACAGCAAAGACTAAGTATTACTGTGTGTATGTACACATTCATTTGCTACTTAGAGTGTCACGATAAGGAAGAAGGCTCCACGGACTCAAAATATCTCACCAGGTTACCATAGGACCCAAAAGATCCCCTTGGATTACCGAGTCTAGCAAAGTGGGGAAAAAAGCCCACCTGCTTATGCCAAGTAGTATGGACACAGCCTGGATAGCTACAGCAATAGCAGACTAAGTTGAGAAAGCTCATGCCAGTTCATGGAACTTCAAGCTTTTCTTAAAATGGGATTTTTATCTGAATTTTTATTCTGATTCTTCACAACAACAAGAGCTGTGGCCTGAGGAATGGGGACAAGGTCTGTGTGATGAAGCTACTCAAGAGCTGGATGCATGGAACTGCAGGAAAGCACACAGGCAGCAAAAGGATGCCTGGGCACCTGCAGGCTACTACAAAACTGGTACCCTGCAAAGGAAGAAGAAAGCATGCAGAAAACCCCCAGTATCCTTAAGGTGAGATACAAAGCTGCTGGGAAAGAGAAGAGGCAGACTTTCCCACCCTCAGGAACTAGAAATCTATGGCAGGACAGAGGCAGTGCAGCCTTCTTCACATTAATTAGTGGTCATACTGCACCCCATGAAACACTGTAGTCATCCTTCATAATCATGAATTTACTACACATACTTCACAAAAAAGAATTACATAAACTTTAAGGGAAGAGAAAAAAAAACAAAACACAACACACAACAAAACCCAGCATACGGATCTATTCACAAAGATATTCTCAGATTATTTTGTAGTTATCAGTCACACTAAATCATACCAGCCCCACAAAAAAAAGAAGAGTTTTAAAGGACAAAATTAAAATCCCTAACTTAAAACTCCAATTTACATCTATAACATAGCAGGATTAAAATGCAAATGTCCTTTGCGCGCGCGCGCGCGCACACACACACACCCCCCCCAGAAGTTTGCTTCCCCTGTATAAGGTTAACAGTGCTGGAAATTACTAAGCATGCAATTGCTTTTTAATCAGTGCCACAATATTTGATGCTTTCACTGAAGAATGCAAGACTGTATGGAGAACTGTCAAGTAAAGCGGTAGGATTTAGTTGAATTCACATCAAGCTTCATTTATGTATATGAATTTATACATAAGTGAATATATTTATATATGGAGAACTTGAAGTGCTCCATATATATTACATTATCAGTGTTGACGTCAATGAAGTTTTCAGTCAGATAAAGTCTGCATGTGTTGACACTCATGTCAGACTGTTCTTGACAAGTCTGTTCCTTGCTACTCCACTTAAGTGAACTGAAGACACCCAACAGAAGGGGTCTGCTACATCTAAGTAAGGATATATCATCCTGTCTTTATATGCTCCATGCACAGAGCCAAACCAAGAAACTCACGTGTTCTCTCAATCTGCTTATGTCTCTGAAAAGTCATCAGAGAGGACCACCATGTAGCTAGCAGCTGTTTCTTAGACATCTCTAAATGAAAGATTTTATCTTTTTTAAGGTATAGGGATGATGAATGTGATGAGAAATAATCTGAAGAGTCCAAGCACAGTGGGAGGGAGCAGAAGACATGGCTGCATGGAGAGACACATCCAGCTGCCGAGCCTGCGGGTACATCTGAAGTAGGTGGACACGATGAAAGATTAGGGAAGGTGTTCCTGGGCTGGATAAATTTGAGTTATGAGGAAAGTTTGCAAAAGTAAATCAGAAAAAAACATGCTTAGATAAGATCAGGTCTAGAGGAAAATAAGACAAACGGGGGAATCAAATCACAGTTGAGATCTCAGAGATGTGTAGTGCAAGTAGAAAGAAGAGAGCCAAAAAGAAAGAGAGAAAGAAGTCAAACTATGAAAGAAAAGTAGCATTAGGTCTAGTGTGAGAAATTATGAACAGCTAGAAAGAGAAAAGGTGGCAATGAGAATGGTGAGTGTGAAAGCAAATAATCTGACTTTAATATAGTAGGACAAACACTAATAAGGAAATTGTATATTGTCATACAATTTTCCAGTTGCCCACAAAATCTAAATCTGATTGAGAATCATTCACATCATAGCCAGGAGAGCCTGAGAAATAAGTATGAACATTACAAACAACGATCAAGTAAAATGTACTATCTCTTCCAGTGACTGTGATTTATAAAGGCTCCAAGCCAGATATTCAGAGGAAATGGGCGGTAAGCAGCAGCACCTCACTGGTGCAAAACAGATACTTTCCTTAACTCAAACGCAGCCAACTTTCCATCCTTCAGCAACCAAACGCAAAGGCAAATGCTGTAGGTCTTGAGCAGGGCACCGTGGAAGATAAAAATAGTTCTGCCTACAACAAACACTTGTCTCTACAGGCTCATAGCACAGCAGTTGAGAAGCACGAGGCGCACTTTCCATTTCTTCATAGAACATCAAATCACACGCTCAGCCACTTGCAGATTAAAACTAGCTGTCTTACAGCTGTGTGACTAGTGATACGATTAAAGGAGCAAATAAAATCCTTGTAAAGATACTTGTCAATTTGGGATTCTCCAGACACAGCTCATCCAAAAAAAGCCACAGTGCACAACACATGGCAATATGAAAAACACAGCAGAAGAGAAAGGAGGGGAAAAAAAAAAAAAAAAGGGTGCAAAATGCCCATAACAAAACTAATGTTTATTGTGAATATGCAAATATGTTTTATTTCGTGTCAACTCTTAAGCAGCATGGGGGGGGGGGGAACATTAGAGAACTGAGCTGCAGAAGGTTTAGAGGAGATACAGGTGTTTGAAATAAAAAAGAATGGCTCTCTACATGTTAAACTGGAAGAACAGGGAAGAGCAGACACCAAAGAATGACTTCGCCATGCTCTTTCTGACGTGCATGACCTAGCAACTGTAGAGAATGCCAAAATTCATTTTTTTTGATCTTGCTGAAGTGCTGTCACAACAGAAGTCCAGTGAGATAAAAAGGCACTCAAAACTGCAGTCACACTTCAAGCTCACTAATATTCTGTTATTCTCCGATAGTTTCCATTTTATTATGGAAATGTTTTCACATGGAAATGACTTATATGTACAAGGAGAAGCCTCTCTCATGAAGAAGATTATAGCAATACATCAAAGAAAACCCTAAAGAAAGCACCTGGTTGCCCAGAAGAACACAGTATGTTCTAATTCCCCCTTTACTATATTTTTTCTGTTTCTTTTTAATGGTAGATACATACAGACAAAAGAAAGGAGTGGAAAAAACACAGTGAGAAATAATAACAAGGAGCACTGCAAGGAAAGAAAGGTTAATTACAGCACAAGAAAAGATGCAAGGAATGTGAAGAATGCCAGCAAGTAAATAAATCAATAATCTACAGTCATCTACATTCCTGAACTACCTTGAAAGCACAGATATCTGCCCTTAACATTCCTGACAACAGTAGGGGTTTTCAAGGAAGACTCCCCCCACAGCACCCTGTTCCTGCCAGCACCCTTGTGTCAACAGCTGATTACAAGGGAACCTTTCCAAAGGGAGCCTGTGCTACCTCTTCTAACAGTTTTGTTAATACAAGCTTGTAAATACCTCGGACCAGCCCAGTAACCTTAACAAGCTGAAATTAATGTTATGATTATTGCACTTAGTTGAAAAAAACCTCAAGGTCAGTGTCAAAAAATTGTAGGAATAGTGCACTAGGTCCCCCCTCACCACCACCACCTCTGGTCTCTAAAACATACCGGAGCTTAGCAGCTCATACGGAATAAAAGCACAGAACAATAAAGCCAGAAGACTAATGTGGTTTTACAGATGTATTTCTTCACAATGGTATCAGCATAATATAAAGTAAGAGTCTTACAGAGGAAATGGAAGCTAAGCAATAGAGACAAGAGGACATAAAAGTCAGAACCTCTTACCAAGCTGGGAACATTCCGTATTGTTAATGGGGAAAGAAAAACTAAAAACCAAACAAACAAAAAACAAACAAACAAAAAAACCAAAACACCAAAACAAAACAAGTATGCAACTAAAATCAAGGATATGCCACCAAGTAACATAGCACAACAGAAGTGGACCTACAGAGCAAAAGAGCGGGTGTTAAGAACCTTACTGACACCCACCCTATACGCATTTCAGGGGGGGTTACTTCAGACTAACTCTAGACTGGTCCTGTGAACTGAGCATCCACTAGGGTTGAGGTAAATAGCCTGGTTTAGTTTCATCCATAAAGGAATCTAGATCAACCTGTGGTGCAAACCAAAATATAGTAAATGGGGAACAACAGAAATTCAACTCAGAAGTGTAATCCTGAGCCAATGCTAACACAGATGTACGCAAAGTTGCAATATGACTCTGACACTATATATAAAAAAAGTCTTGTGAGTCCAGTATCTAACTCTGTCTCAAACAAACAACAAAAAAAGTGGGTAGGATGATTCCATATGAGCATTGCTGCTTAGAAGACCACTTTTGTCTACAAGACATAGCAGTGATTCTCCAAAAATCGCTTTGCCACACAAAATAAAATGTACAAAACCCACAGAAAATCAGCATACAAAATTATTTCTAACCTGGACTTGCTTGGCTTCACGTATGCACAATATGCTTTTGCAACACTTGCTTTTGCAAATGAAGCTGATACAGTATCATTAGGTAGCTGGGGGCATCTTTTCATGGGACTCAAGAAATTTCTTAATGCTTATATGAAGTGTAGCAATTTAAACAAGTCTGTTTTCAATGCCGTTCTACTGCCAAATGGGGGGACTCCCTCCAGCTGTCCACATGTATTCAGATTTCACAATCATCTTTGAAGTAATGGATGCACTTACATTAAAAAAAAAGAAGAAAGAAAACCTACTGTACCTGTATGTTGTTCTTCCATCCAAGCTTGCAGATACATGAAGAGGAGTAGACCAGCTACTCCAAACATCAGTACAGACACAAAGACTTGTCTTAGGTTCATGACCCTATCAGAGGGCTACTTCTCAGCTTTCAGAAAGACGCATGGCTCACTTTTCTGAAGTTTTCAGCGTGCTGCATCTTCTTCAGTATCTTCCCCTGAGACACTGACCTGGAATAACAAGAGATGGAGCTAGTTCTCGTGTTACATTTTTATTCTTCACCAGAGACTGTGTAAACAGCATACTATATATGAGCTGGAGCTCTCACAAGGTATTACTTTCAATGCTTAGATTTCTGTTCACAATCTCAACCATCTTTCTACCCCTGCATGAGTTCCAAGCAGAAGTGCTTCTCGAAGTGGCTGCAGAGACCGTTCCACCTCCACACCACCAAACATCGCCCGCTCCCATAACAGAGGGAGGTGACACCCCAAACGAGATGCCCATGTGTCACACCAGTACACCACTGCCCACCAACCATCACAGCTGAGAAGCTACAGCAGCAGCTGGAGGCCTGCCCAGGTGGCTGGGTTGCACTCTGGTGCTGCCACCCCCACTGCGATGGGCAACCCAGCGCCTCTGCTTCTGGACCGCACGACCCTGTGCACCCGAGGAAGGATGCCTGCAGTCACCCCCACAACACAACAACTCCGCTCGCAGTACCTCAGCATCGGTTCAGCCTATGCTTCGGGGAGTCATACTCTGATGTTTACCCTCGAACATGAATCCAAGTTGAGTTTTGCAGGGTTAGGGAACATCAGCATAAGAAGATATCAGTAACACAGCAGAAAGGGAATTAATGGATCATCATTTTACTCAGCTATTTTGCAACATGGGAAAGACTTGTCAAGAACTCAATTCTTGCCACTAAGTTCAATCGAAATGAAATCAAATATAAAACCTTACCAAAAAGATTACTTTCTTGCACAGCAGAGGGCCCAGAAAAAGGAAGTAATTTACTTGATACCCTGCACCTGCCACAAAGGGGCCATAAAATTCAGTTTATGACAACAGAACATAGAAGACACTGTGGATCACAAAAAAGCCAACTCCTTAACCTGAATCAGAACACGTTCACTTTGAAAGCGTTACTAGAAGCTGAAGAGCAGCTGTTGAAACTGGCCTGCACAGCAAAAGTGTTAAAATTCAACACAATGGACACCCTTGTAAGTGCATATCTGATAGAAGTGTCTGGTAAACTACCACAAAGAATGCAAAGAAAAACTCAAGCTTTTTTAAAGGAAGCCAGCCTACTGAAAAGTATTTGAAAGAGGAATCTGTTAAAAGAACAGAGCTAACGTACATGTGCATCCAAATAAACAGAAAATGCAGGCATTTAACAGTTATTCTGAAATGTACAAGTACTGCATGTTCCACAAGTTTGTGTTTTTAAATAACTCAGCACTGTTACATCTATAATTGTTGAGTTTCTAAAAATACACATACACATAAGGCTTAGCAGGAACTCCCATTAAAAACAGCTGTTGAATGAAAAAAGTAACTACATTAGAAAGAGACAAAAGATTTCAAGAACATCAAAACTCCGTTCAGAACTTTACAGAATTTTTTCCAATTCTGTGCCATTAAAACTATACACTTCTCTGAAGCACAAACTTGCCTGCAGAAAATGTAAACCAGATTTTAAATATTAATCATTTTATATGTAATTGTTCTGTAGAAGACAGATAGCTAGACATTAACAGAATGTAAATGTTCTCTCTGAAGTCTTTTTTGTATGGGTCATGAAGTATCTGGTTTGAACCTGGAAGGAAGATGAGTAGGTGCTTTATACCATCTAGTTCTTTCTGCCTTGATTCTGCAGAGATGGAATTTCCTACACGTTATCTACATGTACCTGTTTGCAGCTATTGTGATGATGCACAGGATTGGAAGGAAGCAGTGAAGACTGGGCAAAAAAAAAAAAAAAAAAAAAAAAAAAAAAAAAAAAAAAAAAAAAGAAAAAAAAGAAAATGCTTGGGAACTTCTCTGTGAAATGCCTTTTGCAAGGGTATGGGTCGTAGAGCCTCCTTTCAGCCAGCTCTTCATTAGCTGTTATCACTTGCACATTTTCCTACAGTGCCCTCAGCATTCTCAGACTTGCAGTCTTCCTTATCTACCCTAAAAGGTATACTTAGGTCTTTGCACCTAACTTCAGTCCTGCAGCAAATGCACTGTTTGCATGTCTTCAGAAATCACTCTGCTGACCAGACAGAAGCTTCCCAGCATAAGCCATGCTTCAAGAACCATTAGTCAAAGGACCAACAAATACAAATCTCTTCTGTTTTCCCCCAGACAAAAGCTGTGTTGTTCTTGTAACAGGACATTGACAGCATCTGGATTAGGAAAAAAAAAGCCAAATAAGAAAGACATGAAGGTCTGAATGAGTATCTTTGAAAGAAACAAATTAAATTGCAGGTACTAGAAAGCAGGAATCAGTTTCTTTTGGAAAAGTTGTTTGGGATTCATAACTTTCTCTCTTATAATAAAGAAGCGAGCAATCCAGACACACACAGTGAATGCTGGCATGTTTCCAAATTAGCCCACTTTTGTGGTTTTCTTACTTGTTTCCATCTCTGACTACACAAACATCTCACATTTTCAGCCCTCCTGTCTGAAAAGCGGTGTCCTTGAGTGGACAAGAAAAGCTTTCTCAGGCCACATGGATGATGCTGAAAGCAAAGGATCTCACACTACATCTCCATGAACATTTCCGACATGTGTAGGCTGGCACTGCTGCTCTCTCCAGCCACTTGCTCTCATCATCCCTGACTGCCCAGCTCTTGCCACCACCATGAGGGCTTACACACCTGTACAGTAACATTCAGAAAGCTCATTCAGCTAAAAACTTCTCCAGAAAGAAGGAATGGGGACCTTACTGCCAAAGGAAGTCAGGAAACACTGGTTTGATCAAACTACAGCCCACAAAGGATTTACCCAAGGAATAGTGCCAATGGTTTTTCCTTTAGCAATACCAGCCATCACGTGCATCCATGATGCATGATGGCATAGGACATACAGCTGACCTTGCCCAAACACCATTATGGTTGCATGCAGCACCATCTACAAGCCCTGCATCTTCACCTTTCGGATGCACAGTAAAATCAGGAGCGCTTCCAAGCAATTTAATCTGTGAATAAGAAAACAGATGTTTTTCTACTAGGGTAGTTCCAGTTTTCAGTGGATAGAAGTTCCTAAAAGGAAACAGCAGTTCAAGGCGCATTTTTTTTTAAACTACCAAACACGCCCTAAAGCCAATTTACTCCACCATCACAACCACTACAATTACCTTTGTATCAAAAGTTTTCATGCTGCTTACAATTAGTTTAATTTATTTAAATTTAATTTATATGAAACTGTGTTCTTTGTTTATGTGTTGGCTGAGTTTTAAGATTAGTCTTAATTAAAACTAATGTTACTCTTGTTTAAGACTACCTATTTTAGCACGGGTTAGACTCTAAATACATCAAACCCATCCAAAATCTGAAGCTATTCTGCTACCTTATAAGATTTTTAAAGGCTTTTCAGCTTGAATAAGTAGTTTAATTTATTTAACATAGTGATTTGTAATCCACATATGAAAAAATGATAGCGACATTAAAAAAGTCTGTGTCTACGAGTCTTCTAGTAGAACTTGAAAAATGGCCACACAACACTGACAAATTTGCTCCTTCAGTATTAAAAAGCAACGGTCATGGATAATACTTTCTAGCATCCTGGCAAAGAGGAAATACCTGCAAATATTCTTTAATCAAGATGAATGCTCTCTTGCAGCTGTGAAGGAAGAGCCAATGAGCAATTACTTTCAACCTAAGTATTTTCAAAAGAGATCAGGTATACTCAGAGGTTCAGCATTCCTAGTTAAGCTGTGAATCTTTCTTTGCTCCCAGCCCTGGGCAACATGGCTCCACTGGGTGACAGCTTGACCATCCTGCTGGATAGGATGCTTGGTATGGGGAAACTAAATTAGCCTAAGAAACTGCTGTGTCCCTCTCACCTGTGCTGAACTCAATTCTTTCTTTAGCCCAACCTCCCCCTCATCTCTTTTGGAAGTATGGACCCCAATGTCCCATCTGTATCAACTCAAGCCTTCACAGAAAATGTCACAGTGACCCACTCACCCCAAAATTTCAAGTCCTTTTGAGTCCTGGAGAGGGATTACTACATATTGTTCTTATCCATCATGGAGAAACAGTTAATCTGGCAGACAAAAACCCTACATGCCTTAGATGACAACACAAACGTCTTTGCAGCAAAAATTTAGAAACTTGACAAGTTTATAATCATTCACTCCTGGGGCCAAATTGTTTAATACCATTGTCAAATTTAAAAGTTTCAGGAATCCACACTCCACTAATGTAAAATCCTTGCATTTTTCCTGTTGTGTTTTGGGCCCAGTTCAAAGAGGCACATTCCCATGCAGGGCCAACACAAGCAATTGAAACAGCACAGCCACCCAAAAATGGGCAAGGGTGCATCTCCTGCTTTTGGCATGATTCCTCATTTCAGTACATCGTCCACCTTTCTCTTCCTGGCAAGCAAATACACCTGCAGCTGAGGAGAGGCACCTCCAGCACTCAGGTACCATTCCTGGCTTTTTCCTATTCCAGACCACACGAAACCAATGGCATCGGTGACAGTATGCTTCACTAACTTAAGCTTTCCTTGCCACTATTACCACCACCTAGTTCCAAAATCAGAAACATACAAAAGCAAAACATTAGGTTGCCTCAAACTACCTCAAACTATTTAGAAACCTTTCTTTTTAATTCCCCTCCACCTTTTTTCCTTCATCCCAAAAAAAGAGATGATCAAGATGAGCGGTTAGCCAGCAGAATACTGATGAAAAAAACCCAGATGCTCTTTATAATGGTCAAAGCATTCATACTGCTGTGGGTTACCACAAATTCCCACCCGCTCAGCATCTCCTTAGACACAACTGAATTAATGACAGAAAAATGAGAAAAAGGACACAGAAAGCTACTGCAACCCCCCACACTTTTTTTTTTTCTTCCCTCCTCCTTTCCTTACCCCAAGAAGCAATACGTTTTCCGATGCCTCCTCT